CTGGCAGCCTACTTCTGGAAGTTACTCCCAGGGTGCCACTGCCCCCTACCGCCACCTTCCGGTTCAGGGTGGGGGGAAAGCTCCCTGTCACAGGACCCTGAACACCCTTCCTTTTCTCTCAGACATCGTCTTTGAGGGTTTAGAAGACTCCCAGGACAGAGGAGAGATGGAAAGAGGGGAAACGTGTCTGAGAAAAAAAGAGAAAGACAGGAGGTGCTGGTAATTGACACTGGGTCCAGAGAGACACAGTTTGCCGGGCCTCTCCAGTGTGTGGGGGGAGCAGTAGCTCATTCTTACGGGTCCTCCATGCAGCTGCGTGCCACTTTGTGCCCATTTGCTTAGGCTACCCTTAGGGACTGCCCACCCACTATGTTCCAGCTACAGTGGTAAAAGAAATGCAGACCGTGCCTGCTCTCAGGGAGCCTACAATCTGGCAGTAGAATTCCACACTGAATAAAGTTAATTATGCCAACAAGCATATAATTACAAACTATGGTGAAGGCTATGAAGACAACATAGGGGGTGCTGAGAGAAGCGAATGAGGTTTATAGACGTTTCCCTGAGGAGGTTAGACCTTGCAAGCTGGACTCGAAGAATGAGAGGGAGTCAGTGAGGTAGGAGGAGGCTAGAGGAAGGGGAAGGATCCCAGAGGGAAGGGACAGCATGTGCAAAGACCCTGGGGCAGGAAGAAACAAGGACCTCTTAGGTATTGCTGGTAGAGTGAGATGTGGCTAACCAAGCTGGATGTTTAAGTGGCTGCCAGAATCTTCTTTGTCCTCTCTTTGAGCCCCCTTTCCTTAAAAGACTTGTAAAGGGTTCTCTATCCATAACACTTCACTTTGAGCTTCAAAGGGCTATGTCCAGACTACCCCAGATTACTGAAACCTTTCTCCTACTCCTCTTTGGTTCTATGAAGAAAACACATTTATCAAAAGACTAAAGCAAATAGTTTTGACGTGCAGTTCTGTACCATAACGGAGGCTATAATGAAGTCAGTCCCAGTTTACATGACTCCAAATGGTTTCATTTAAATGTCCCACCCTGTATTTACGCGTCCCTACCACTCTGACTGTTTATCTTCCAGTATAGTCTACTGAACTTGCAAGCTTGGCCTCTGTGTAATTCCGTCTCTTACTTTTTCCATTCCATGGCCTGTCATTTACATTTTTCTTTAGAAATACAAATATTTATTTACAGTATTAGTTTTTACTCTAGCTTAGCCCTATATATTATAGAGTACACCGACTGTGATATGGGTTCTAGTCCTACATTTTTCCATAAACTGGTGGTGACCTTAGCCAAGTCATTTAACCTCATGAGCCTAAGATGATTTGTAAGATGAGATGTTTTTCATTTCCATTATTTTGTTCTATAAAGTTAGCGGATCCATAATCAGGATTCCTCTTAGATTCTGTACTTCTTACAGTTATCCAGGAGTATTTCTCTAACATTTTTGTCTTTATCAACCCCTCTTTCAGAATGCCTTTGTGGGTATGAACAACTCTTTGCATAATTGTTTTTGTCTGGTAGCGGTACCCAGAGTAGTATTTAGCAAATGAAAACAGAGCATACTGTTGGGCTTGGGTTAAAGCTCGCATATGTGGGGAAGTGGTTAAGCAGGAACATTCTAGCTGCAGGCCTGAGATTCCCTTGGACTGCTTCTCAGTCTGGGGTATATGAACCCATAGAGGTGTACCAGTGAGTATAGGAAAACCTTCTTTCTGGAACAAGAATTCTACTCAAAGATTTGAGGATAGAAAATTGACTTTAGTATTGAGGCAAATATGGATATGTTGTGAATAGAAGATAAAAGTTATATGATTTTTTAAAATTTTATTTATTTATTTGAGATATAGAGTGAGAGAGCAGGAGTGGGGGGTGGAGGACAGAGGGAGAGAGAGAAGCAGACTTCCTGCTGAGCAGGGAGCCAGGATGCAGGGCTCCATCCAAGGACCCCAGGATCATGACCTGAGCCCAAAGTGGACACTCAACCGACTGAGCCACCCAGCACCCCAAAATTCAGATGATATTTTAATATAAAAGAAGAACCCAGGGCTGTACAGCTTGGGGCACACTGCAACATGAGAGGAAATGGGGCTTTTACTTCTGTCCTTGGGTTGCTCGAGAAATACTTGTCTTGTGGGTCTTTTGAGATATGTACACTTTCACAGGGTAAAGTTGTTAACTCAGTCAGGAAGGGCATTCCTGATAAATAGTGGACATGTGTGGAAAATCCAATTTCACCCATTAGGAGAGTTTAAAAAGGGTCCTGAGGTTGAGAGGGAACCAGGCTGAACAAAGGATTCCCTTCCAAACACAAATCGGTTACACAGTCTTGTTTAGGATCCTGGCTAAAGGTTGGGTTTGAACTGATCCAAACATCTGGAAGATCTCTCATCCTTTCTCTGACCTCCCATATTTCTTCTCGTTTGTACCCCCAGCTCTTGCACTTACCATACCATTTTATGTCAGTTATATTTTCTTGTTTATACAGCTTCTCAGCTAGAAGACAGAGAGATCGGGTGAATTAAGAAAAAGTATAGGATTGAGCATCAAGTCCTTGCTTGCCAAGTGCCTTTTGGTACTCCCAGAAGCCTCTCTAATTCACAGTTCGCTCATCTATTAAATGATGCAAAATAACAGCCGCCTGGCCTACTGAACAGGTAGGATTGTGTGCAGAGCATATGGATTTGCAATGTAAAAACATTTTGTAAATCATTAAACCAAATCGGTTATTAACTAAGACCCCAAAGGGAAGGAGGGCATATCTCTTGAATCATCTTTCTATTCCCCTCAACTTTTAACTTTGGCTAGTTGGTTCTGATAACTATTAGTGATAAAGATCATGAAATGCTGTCCCCCGGCTGACCCTGGGAAAACTCCAATTCGGTCTTTCTCTTCCACCCCCATCCTTTACATCCTTTTCTGGCTTCAGTCCCCACCCGCACAAGCTCCCACCTGCTATTTCTTCCCACTGCCCCTTCCAGAGAATTTGGGTATTAAGAGGACACTTACAGAGACTGTGTAACGTATATGAATGAACTGCTGAAGGTAATTCCAGGCATCAGCAGGGGAAGTTTTATGGCAATGCGATTTTCATGGGCAAATGAACTGGTGTCATTCTGGAAAATTCCACCCAAACAGAATTCTGGGGTTTTTTGTTTGTTTGAGACCCAGCCTAAAAATCTCTCATGTAATAATGAATAATTACATTTTCATGGACCTCTTTGCTGAAGTCGTAAATTACTCTTCCTTCTCAGTGTGGGGTGAAGGCCAGCCTGCACAGTTAACATCTCTGAGGGAAATACCAGGAAAGGTTAGGAGGGGTAATGGGCAGGTTGAATATGTACTGGATTAAGAACGCTTCAGCTAAACAGTAACTTTACTAGGCTGTTCCCCTCATATCTGCCTTGACCTCAGGGTAGAGTAGACATTTTTTCCCCCCCTAAGATTTATTTATTTGTTGGAGAGAGAGAGAAAGGGAGCAAGCACAAGCAGGGGGAGTGGCAGGCAGAGGGAGAACCAGGCTGCCTGCTGAGCAAGGTGCCAGACCTGATACTCAATTCCAGAACCCTGGGATCATGACCTTAACTGAAGCCTGACACTTAACCGAGCCTCCAAGGCTCCCCTAGAGTGGACTTTTTAAAAAAAAATTTGACAGAGAGCGCGAGAGAGAAACAGAAGCAGCACAGGGAGAGGGAGAAGCAGAGGGAGAAAGAGGGAACCCCATGCAGGACCAATCCCAGGACACCGAAATGATGACCCAGCGGAAGGCAGATGGTTAACCGGCTGAGCCGCTCAGGAGCCCCTAGAGTAGACTTTCTTAGCAGAAATGTGTTCAGGGGTCCCCAGCTTGCTCAGTAGGTAGAGCACACATCTCACACACAACACTCGATATCTGGGGCAGTAGTTCAAGCTTCATGTTAGGCATATTGAGGGAGGGAGGAAGGAAGGGAGGCGGGAAGGGTTAAGGGAGGAAGGCAGGAAGGAAGTGTTCTTATGCCTCTTCCTAATCTTCCCTTTCAAAACGCATGAGTTGTGCAAGAAGAATCCACATCCCACACTAACAAGGCAAGGGTTATAATAACTTGATTTCTTACAGGCAATACTTTCATCTTATGTTTTATTTTCCTTTTTTTGAGCAAGCGTTTGTCGTAAGAGATCAAGTTAGTTAATAAAGAGGGATAGGAGTGTAAGCAGTGGATGCTTCCTTTTCATTTCCAGCCCCCCAAATGCAGGTTTTGAAGGGGAGAGTGGTCACTCCAGGTCCTCACATCGCTCCAGGGGCAACAGGGCAGACCCGAAACCAAGAGGAGCCCGAGAGCCGGAACCAGGGGTAGTAGGTCCAGCCCAAGAAGACCCCAGGCCGGGAATTCAGTGGAAGAACCTCTGCTGCTGCCCCGCCCGCACGCCTCCACGGACCCGCAGGTGGCAGGGGGTCTCGGTTTCCACACCTGCAGAAATGTTAGCATGGCCCCGCTCTCTTCAGGTGCCTCGGAGGCGCTAACAAGAAACCACCCGCCTCGGTGAGGTTCTGTTCCTCGGGCTACAGGAGCAGGCTGGAGAGAAACAAATCACCCTGTTCCCTCCCTCCCTAAGTAGCTCCAGGTGATCTTTTTCGTGGGGGTTGATGCCAGGCGGAGACCGCCCCCAGCGACCACGTAACCCGAGGCCGGAGGGGCTTCGCGCCCACGACGACCCAGCACCAGCCAGCCCGCCTGGGTCCCAGCCGCGCGGCAGGCGGCGGGGTGGGGGCGGGGGAGACTGCCGGGTGGCCACGTGACCCCACCCGTTGCCCCGGGAGATGGCCGGCGCTTTGTTCTCAAAGCCCCGACTCTCCCACCCGGCGTACCCCGCGGGGCGAGCCGTGGTGCGCGCGGGGTCGACCCGGTCGGCTCCGCGCCGCCGCCAGGGCCCTCCCGGCCGCCCGCTGCCCCCCCACCCCCGCCGCCCCGCCGCGGTTGGTACGGCCCGCGCCTCGAGGCTGCGCGGCTGTGTCAGGGACCCCAGAGCAGGCGGCAAGTCGCCGGGGAGGAGGTGAGCGGCGCGGGGCTGAGGCGCCGAGGGCTCCCTCTGCTGCCGGAGAGAGAGCGAGGCGAGCGTCCTGAGCGAGGGGGCTGCCCCCAGCGCCGCCCGGGCCGGACCGCCTCCTGTTTGCGCGCCCAGAGCCTGACTCCAGGGACCCCTCGGCCCTCCAGGCTCCTTTGTCCCGCCTGTCCCCCGCCCTGACGCTGCCCACCCTGCGCTTTTTGGTCTGGTAGAGCCCGGCGCGCCGGGCCGGGCTCCGGACCCCCGGCGACGGTGGGAGACACCCTTTCCCCGACGCCAACGGCGCGTCATTTCTCCCCAACCCAGATTCCATCCGCAACATGCCGGACGTCGAGGAGAAAATGCCCCTGAAGGGCCCAGGCGACGCACAGTGCCGGTCCTGCAAGCCCGAGACCTCAGCACCGACCCCGGAAGACCGGAGAGGCCCCGAGGACCACCCCGCCCGTAGGTCCCGTCGCCGCTCGGGGGCGCCCAGCCCGGGGCAGGGCGGAAGAGGAAGGGCCTGCCGGCCTCTCGGTTTGCCCTTCGCCTGGTCTTCCCCCGCCCCAGTGCTTGCTCCCCCAGGCCCTAGGCCCCCTGTGCACCCGAAGGTTGGTCCAGGAGGGAGAAAGGACTTGGGCCGGATTACTTGAATCTGACAAAAGAAAAATTCTTTTTTAATCTGACAAGATTTGAGACCAAGCGCCTTCACCGCCTTAATTGTTGTAGTTTGAATTTGTAGGTGGAAAATGGCGGACACTTGGTATACTTACTCTCAGAGAACCCAAGTGGCCCTCGGTGGGAATCACTCGGCGCTTCATGGACTTAAGAAGTACGGCTGGTCTGGGCTTCTGTTCTCAAGCTCCGTACTTTTATGTTCCTGTTGCGTCGCAGGAGTATGCTTTCGTAGGTCGAACTCCGCTGGGACTCATCCAGCATTTCTCTTCTAGTAATCTCTACAGAATTTAAAACAGGCATCAGTCTGAAGACCTGTTCACGTGCAAGAGTTTAACTCGAGTTAAACTCGAAGATTAAAGTGTGAAAAATTAGTTCAAGGCCCGGCTACTCTGAGGTTGAATTGCAGTTTTCTCTTGTGGCCACATGGGGTCGTTGCCGGCTAACAGAATGGCCCTAAAGTGGCAAATTGGTGCATAGAAATTTAGATAGAATGGACCTGATGTGGGCTTGAAAGCCAATTTTCTGTAAATACAATGTAAACAATTTAATTCTTCGGGAGGCTATTTAGATGAATCCGTAGGTAAAACAACCCTAAAGTGAGTAACCAAATTGCCTCTTAAAAGAAAAAAAGAACTGACATGTTGTAGATTAGGTTGTCTTGGTTCAGTTACTGTATCATGTTGAAAATTTCTTTGTCCTTGGGATTTGGATTTTAAAAATCTACTTTAGTTGCCTTTTCCCTCGAATTTCTCTTTGGGCCCTCCCCTTTTTTGATTTTTTACAGCTGTTGGGAGTTATCTAGTACCATGGTACTTGTGAGCACCAGAACAATCTTGTCAAAGTAGGATCTGAACTTCGACTTCTTGTATTTGGAAAGTGTTTCTGTGGGTAATCTTTCCCTCTGTCCTTCAGTAAGCTGCTATAACTCAGTTTCCCTTGGAAGATTTTATTTCTCATTTCGCAATAGTGAGTTAATGGATTGTCTGTTTACATGTTTGACTGTGTTTTGCCATTTTGGCTGAAACCAAAGGCTTCGGAGAGGCTGCAAAAATAAAGGGAACATCAGCTGTCCACTTAAAGTTCAATTCATCTTTATGTTTACCAAAGCAAGGGCTCAGTGGCTTTTGGTAAATTTGCAATCACCTTTTACCTATAGATTTTTATTTTATTTTTTTAATTTCAAAATAGTTCAACTTTGTTGAAAAGTAAAAAAAAAAAAAAAGTGAATGCCCACATTGTTAACATTCTGCCACATTGCTCTCTCTCTATAAATATGTATTTTTGTCCTTTTATACTGAAAGGGTCATGACTTCTAAAAACTTCATGTATCTCCTAAGTAAAGGCATTCTGTGTAGCCTCTTTTCTACAATAACTATTTTTCCTTTTTACATTTTGAAATCTTATTTATGGACAACTTAAACGTTTATAAAAGTAGAGAGACTAGTACAATAAGCCACATTTACTCATTACCCAGCTTCAGCAGTGACCAACTCATGGCCGATCTTCATTCATTTATATCCCCTCCATATCTCGGAACCAGATATTTTTCTTGTTGAATTATGAAGGGCTATTGAAAGAGAATGAGAAAGTATGATGTACTATGTGCAACTTCGTTCCACATACCAAGTGATCATTAAAACTATTGTGCCTGTTTTGTGAGAATGAGCTCAGCTGGGTCTGTAGTAAGAACTTAGAGCACTGGGTCCCAAATGTTAGTGCTGGTTTATGTCAAAATTCTTCACAATATTTAGTGAAAGAAAATAAAGATGTAATGAGTGTTTCCTAAAGCTAAATCGATTCAATGTAAAGGACTCCTCTTTATTCTGATAACTTTCTGGGGTTTTTTTTAAGATTTTATTTATTTATTTATTTGACAGAGATCACAAGTAGGCAGAGAGGCAGGCAGAGAGAGAGGAGGAAGCAGGCTCCCTGCTGAGCAGAGAGCCTGATACGGGGCTCGATCCCAGGACTCTGGGATCGTGACCTGAGCCGAAGGCAGAGGCTTTAACCCACTGAGCCACCCAGGCGCCCCAACTTTCTGTTTTTGAGCGGGGGAGGAAGAGGTGGGGTTTTTGGCTTTGGTTTTTTTTGAAGGTTAAGCTGTTCTTTTATGAAATGATGTTTTGGTGGTGATAGAGTGGATTTTTTTTATTTGCTTATCTGCGGTTCACACTTGGCAAAACAGAACATGGGTAGGTTGTCATCAGTTGCTCAGAATCTTTGGAAATGTCAGTAACCTACAAAATCCTAACACCTGGGAACTCCTGCTTTTTTTTTTTTTTTTTTTTTTTTTTTTTTCTTTTAAGATTTTATTTATTTATTTGACAGAGAGAGATCACAAGTAGATGGAGAGGCAGACATAGAGAGAGAGAGAGGGAAGCAGGCTCCCTGCTGAGCAGAGAGCCCGATGCGGGACTCGATCCCAGGACCCTGAGATCATGACCTGAGCTGAAGGCAGCGGCTTAACCCACTGAGCCACCCAGGCGCCCGGAACTCCTGCTTTTTGAGACCAGGTGACACTGGTGCCATTCAGTACCATCAATATGGAGAATTTAACTTTCGTCAGAGTCAGGAAAAGGAGAGCAGAATCAGAATACCCTTAGATAAATGCTTATGTTTGCAAATCACAAATTATTGTTTCTTTGCTGCTTTAATTATTATTTTACTTTTCAAGAGAAAGGCTTGTATTTCATTTTTGTTATTTATAAAATAGCTTCTTTGTCCTCCCTCACCCCCATGCTGGACTACGCTAGGCACTGGACCCAGAGTTCAGAAAACCTAAACTACTAGAACGGTCAAATGAGTTGGTGTGAGATCAATTTGATGAATCTTAATTTGGGGCCTACTCACAGTGAGTCTATGAAGAACATAGAAATTCAGAATGACTTGTGTCCACCATAAGTTCTTTTTTTTTTTTTTTAAATGGAAATATAGTTGTTAACATTAGTTTCAGGTGTATACCTGAGGTTCTTTCTGTCACAGGTCTGATAGGTACAGTGGACGATGTTTCTAAGCCGAGCAACAAGATTGGAATGAATCATGATTTCCACGTGGAAGAAAAGGTTTCCTCTCCAAGCAGGTACCAGCTCTTCTGATTTTTCCATTTTATTCATTCTGGCATAGCTATTTAGCACTAATGGCTTCTGACCAGACTTGAAGCATCTTTTTTTTTTTTTTAAGATTTTATTTATTTATTTGACAGACAGAGATCACAAGTAGGTAGAGAGGCAGGCGGAGAGAGAGAGGAGGAAGCAGGCTCTTCGCCAAGCAGAGAGCCCGATGTGAGGCTCGATCCCAGGACCCCGGGACCATGACCCAAGCAGAAGGCAGAGGCTTCAACCCACTGAGCCACCCAGGTGTCCCAAAGCATCTTTATTTAATAATCCAATTGAGTCAGTAAAACTGGGTGGGGGGGGATACAGTTTTTGAATATAAACCTTAAGAGGGCTCAACAACTTAAATAGAAGGGTAATAATTATTAGTATTAGAATGTCAGGAAGCAAATGTTATTTAACTAGTAAATAAGCCAAAGTAGTAATTATTGGAATGTTCACTTTGTGATTCCCCCCCTCCCACCATCGTTAATAATAAAATATCAGTAGGGTGGATTTCACATCTTCTCTGATAAATGTGGAAGAAGTAGCCTGTGGTAGCTAGCTCTTGTTGCCATCCAGTTATCTGGCAACTTAGTACCTGAAACAATGTTCATTATCTCACAGTTTCTCTGGGTCAGAGATGCGGGCACAGTTTACTTGTGTGTCTCTGGCCCTAGTTGTAGTCAGTGTGTTGAGTGCTAATCAGAGCCTCCCTTAGCTCTGAGCCACATAGCAGCTGGCTTCCCTCTCTCAGAGTGAGTGAGAAAAGAAAGGTGTGAGAGATGGTGCCCAAGACAGAACCCACAGTCCTTCTGTTACCTCATCTCAGAAATGACATCCCAGTACCTCAGCTACATTCTGCTTGCTGGAAGGTAGACCCTAAACAACACTCACACTCCTGGAGATGAGGTTACCCCAGTGTGAATATCAGGAATCCTAGATCTTTGGGGTCATCTGATCAGCTGCCTGCTTCATAGCTCCTTCCAATTACTCTTTTAAGTGGCCACAGATGAAATAGGCACAGATAGAATATGAATTTTTTTTTAAGATTTTATTTATTTGAGAGAGAATGAGTGAGTGAGAGAGAGCACAAGCAGTGGGGAAAGGCAGAGGGAGAAGGAGAAGCAGACTCCTTGCTGAGCAGGGAGCCCAATGTGGGGCTTTACCCCAGGACCCTGGAACCATGAACTGAGCCGAAGGCAGACCCTTAACCGATTGAGTCACCCAGGCGCCCCCATAAGTCAGTTTAACTTACGAATTAGGATCAGAACTCTGTTCATAAATAATGCTCTCCCACCTCCATCAAGCTTCACTTTGATTCTTAGTTATATTGACATTGTAACAAGGGAGCACCATTTGGGGAGTATGAATTGAATGGCTCTGCTGGTTTATTGGCAGTTAAATCGGTAAATTCAATGTCAGATTTCAAAAACTTCTAATTTCCCACCAATAGATCAATGAGGACAGCTTGTGATCAGCCAGTTTCCTTAAATGCTTTTGTGATCTGGCAGCCTCAGGGAATCTGTTACTCAAGTGCCCTTGTTTATGGCACGGAGTTCCTGCCCTCTTCGTGCTCTGATGTTCCCATGCGTGGTGCCACGGCTTCTGTGTGACCAGATTTTCATGAAAACCCACATCTCCTAACACCTCCCTCACTGCTTAGATGCGTTTGATGGCAACAGGAGAGGAGAAACAATTGAAACCGGAAGAGTGAAGGTCTGCTAAAGGGACAGTAACGAGGGAGTTGGGGGGGATAGGGAGAAGAGAGGGAGAAACGAAGCAGGAGAAATAGTACCAGTCAGAGCTGGATTTTCATGTAAGGTCATGCAGAATTTTATCAGGAGAAAGGTTGAAAACAGCGTTTGACCTGACTCATTTTTGGCAGTTGCCTCTCCTTTGTGCATAGGATGCTGTTAATGATGGTTGTGTACTCCGAAGGGAAATCCCGTGTTTGGGCATTCATTGATCAGGTGTATACTGAGTCCTTATGTGGCAGGCAGATGCTGAGTGCTGGGGATAGTTAGAGATGTAGCTGTAGATAAACAAGGCACTGTCATCGCTGTCAGAAGTTTTTGGAGGGGGGACAGTTGAATAACAGAAGAGACCCATCAGTTCACTCATAGTTGTTTATAAAGAGTTTCATGAGAATGCTCAGTTGCTTAAGGAGGGTCAGAGAAGATCTGCCTGTGGAGGAAGACTTGAGTTGCTTATGAAACCTTGAGTCAAGTCTTAGAGGAGGAATAGATGTTGCCCAGATGGTCTAGGTGGGAAAGAATGTTCCCAGCAGAGGAAACTATGACAGAGGCAAGAATATGGTATGTTTTTTATAGGTACCTTGGTGTGGGTAGCTGTATAAAATGAGATAGAAGGAGATAAACTAGAAAAGGAAGCAGAGCAGGGTCCTGTAAGTGAATTATGTTGCTGGTGAGGGAAAGTCCCTAAAGGACTTTACAGGAGCAGGGCATCGTGGTCAGAATGGAATTTCAGAAGTCCTTGATTTTAGAATGAATTTGTGGAGAACAAATAAGAAAGGGACAAGACTGAGGGCAAGGGGACCAGTGAATGGACTATAGTAGTAGTCCAGGTAAGAGATGATGGGAGGTGGGGGATGGATTCCAGAGGCATTTAAGAAGCACCGTTTGTGGAACTTGGAGATGGATTGGATAGATAGGATGAGGAGAAAGAGTTGAGAACAATTCCAGTACACCTTACACCATTGGACAGATTATAGTTGGTTACCTCTGATAACCCCTGATCCGTTACCTCTGATGATTGAGGCTGGTGTGTTGTTGGGAGAGGAACTTTGACTTTTTGTTTTATTCATCTTCGTATTGCTTGCTTGTTTGTTTTACATGGCACATACATTACTACTGTATTTTTTAAGGGGGGGATGTTTAATTCAAGAAAACCAGTAGCTACTTGGCAATGACTAGGTCTAACCTCAAACTTTTCGAATGGTTCTTTTTCTCTTCTCACTGCAGGTTAGAGACATCATTTAAATAAACTTTGAGAGGAAAATTAATTCCTGTCATTTCCTTTCTTAAAATTAATACACATTTTTTTTAAAAAACTAGTTTTGTTTTACAGAAAAAATGATTGGAAAGTACAGAGTTCCCACAGAGCCCATGCCCTGCAGGACACAGATTCCCCCATTGTTCATATCTTCCAATAGTGAGGTCATTTATTAAAGCTGATGATCTAGTATTAATACATTATTATTAACTCCAGTCCATAGTGTACCATTGAGGTTCATTTTTTGTATATTCCGTAGGTTCTGAAAAATGTACAATGTCCTATATTCACCATTTTTGTATCCTACAGAGTGATATCCCTGCCCTAAAAGTCCCCTGTGCTCTGCTGGTTCACCCTTTCTTCCTGCCACGTGAATCCTTGGCAACCACGGATCTTTTTACTGTCTCCATTGGTTTCCAGAATGTCCTATAGTTGGACTCCTACAATATGTAGCCTTTTCAGATTGGCTCCCTTCATTTAGCAATATGCGTTTAAGATTCTTTTATGTCTTTTGGGGTTTGATAGCTCATTTCTTTTTTAAGGCCGAGTAATAGCCCATTGTGTAGAGCTACCACAGTTTATTTGTCCCCTCACCTACAGAATGTCATCTTGATTGCTTCCAAGTTTCAGCAATTATGAATAAAGCTGCTATAAACCTTCCTGTGCAAGTTTTTGTGTGGACACAAGTGTTGAACTCATTTGCTTAATACAAAGGACAGTCTATGGATCATATGACAAGAGTCCGTTTAGTTTTGTAAGAAGCTGGGGCAGCTACGATTTTGCATTCCCACCAGCAATGCATGCGAGTTCTTAGAGTTGCTCCACAGCGTCTCCTGCATTTGGTGGTGTCGGTGTTTTGGATTGGGCCCTCTCATAGATATTGATGGGTATGTCATTGTTACTTTAATTTGCAGTGCCCTGATGACAGGATGTTGAGCATCTTTTCATAGGCTTATTTGCCATCTGAATGATGACTTTTGTGATGTGTCTCTTCAGATCGTTCCCCATTTTAAAGTTGGGTTATTCTCTTCTTTTTGAGTTTTAAGAGTTCTTTGTATAGTTTGGATACTAGGGTTTTTTTTTTTTTAAGATTTTATTTATTTATTAGAGCAAGTGCAAGCACAAGCAGGAGGAGTGGCAGCGGGAGAGGGAGAAGCAGACTCGCTGCTGAGCAGGGAGCTTGACCTGGGGGCTCCCTCCCAGGACCCCAGGATCCTGACCTGAGCCAAAGGTAGACCTTCAACTGACTGAGCCACCTAGGCGCCCCATGGATTCTAGTTCCTTATCAGATACTTGTTCTGCAAAGATCATGCTTTGTCTTTTCATCTCTTAACAGTGTCTCTGTCACAGAGTACAAGTTTTTAATTTTAATGGAGTCCAGTTTACCAGTTTTTTTCTTTCATGGATCATCATGCTTTTGATGTTGTATCTAAAAGGTCATTGCCAAACTCAAGGTCAGCTAGTTTTCTCCTACATTATCTTCTATGTTATCTACTTCTTACATTTAGGTCTGTGATCCGTTTGTGGAAGGTATAAGTCTGTGTCTAGATACACTTTTTTTTGAGTGCAGAGGTCCAGTTTCTCCAGCCCCACAAGCTGAAGAGACTATCCTTTCTAAATTGAATTGCCTTTGATTCTGTTTTTCTTTTTTTTCCTTAAGATTTTGTTTATCCATTTGAGAGAGAGAGAATGAGAAAGAGCATGAGAGGGGAGAAGGTCAGAGGGAGAAGCAAACTCCCCATGGAGTTGGGAGCCTGATGTGGGACTCGATCCCAGGACTCCAGGATCATGACCTGAGCTGAAGGCAGTCGCTTAACCAACTGAGCCACCCAGGCTTTGATTCTGCCTTTGATTCTGTTTTTCTTTTTTAAGGAGAAGAAATGTCTGATCTTTCTGGCCTCCATGACTGGCTACCTGGTAGGGCCCCTGATATTGGGAATATAGGAGAAACAGGTTTGGAAGGGGAAGATCCCGAATTGAGTTTTAGACCTGCTGATTTGGAAATCCCTATGGATATTTGAGTATTATCAAAGAAGGAAAATCCTTGTCTAGATTTTAGGACTATAAGAAAATAAAAGATCCTTTTGTTCATGGCTATGTGTATGCATAAATGGCAAGTAAGTAATATATTACCTAGGCTAGATGCAAATTGGTGCTAAAGCTGACCTGATCTCCCTGGAGCGTTCTTCCTCCTGCAGAGGGAGGGCTACTTGAAATCAAGAGGAGCCCTTCTAAGAGAGTTTGGTCATGCCCTTGACATCCAAGTCTGAGCCCAGCTTGTTCAACTTTGCTGCAGTCCAAATATAGTTCCTGGTCTTTTCCTGTTAGTATGATGGTCTTTTGTCATATTAAATGCTGTTTGTTTGGGCCTTAGGAGATAATGACCTTCTAATAGTTTTTGGGTAGAGAAAGTAATTTGCTCATTTAACCCTCTTACAGTTTGGAAGGCAAGGTCAAGGAGACAATGCACAATGCCTTTTGGGACCATCTCAAAGAGCAGTTGTCAGCTACTCCCCCAGACTTCAGTTGTGCTCTTGAACTTCTGAAAGAAATTAAAGAGGTGAGTGACCTATCTTCCACCTATAGATGTAAGTTTCCTAGACATCCCCAAAGTCATTGGAATGTCAGTGGCTAACAGATCCTAACTGAACATGGTCCACGAATCAGTGAAAGTCTAATCCATAGACAGAAATCACACAGTAGTTTCAACAAGGAAGTTTTAATATAAAAATTATAACGTGGAATTGAAGAAACAAGAGCTTTGAGCTAATAAGTAGCGAAGAAAACTCTAAAGTAGACAAAAATATCAGCTAGACGGAGAATATGCCAAACCCCCAGGACCCAGAGAGAAGATGCAAGGATTCAGAGAGGGTGTGGCTGTGCCGGGGAGGTTGTTGGCCTCTGTGTGCTGCTGACTAGCATGTAGGGGCCGGGGCTGCAGCTGCTGCCCATGCAGGAGCAGCTGACATCAGACCCAGAGCCCCTTGCTCTGCCAGAGCCAGCTTCTGGCCAGGCTGCACAAGTATACTGCTTCATGCCAAGTTAGTATTTCAGAACCAGGAAGAGAAGCTCTTGCCTCTTGTGATATCTTTGTAGTATGTGGTGGGTACCCCTGAAAGTGACCCCCCAGTGATCCACACCCTTGTTCAATCCTCTCTCCTTGAGCGTGGACGAGGTCTGTAACTTGCCTCTAAGCAGTACGCCAGGGTGCTGGGATGTTGCACCTAGAAATACATTTCACTGCAGACTAGAGAAACCCTCTTGCCAGCCTTCAAGAAGCAGACAGCTGTGCAGTGATCTGCCCCTGCAGAGGGTCCTAGGGCAGGGATATGCAGCTGGCCCCTAGGATCTGAGGGCAGCATCCATCCGTCAAGTCCACAGCTGTAAGGAAATGAATTCTGCCAGCGATCTGAATCAGCTTGGTAGCCAAGTCCTCCCCAGTCAAGCCTCCAAATGAGAATGCAGCCCAGCCAACACCCTGAGTGCAGCCTTGTGGGAGTCTGAGCAGAGGGCCCAGTGAAACTGCGGCGGGGCTCCTGCCCCACAGAAATTGTGAGCTAAGAAACGTATGTGCTGTTGGAAGGCTCTACGTTTATGGTAATTTGGTATGTAGCCCGGAAAACGAATTGTGCCCTCTACAGATGAAGCTTAACCATTGTGCCACCTGCTGAAAAAAGAATATCTAAAGGACTCCACTCCATGTTCTCAGAGCAGGGAAGAGAATGATGGATTTGGAACTGAGAGACAGTAAATTGGTAACTGTCACATTCCCCTACTTGGGCTGCTTAGCTTCCGGATCCACCCATCTACACACATTTCAGTTTTTGAAAAGATCTCTATTTCTACCTGCTCAGATAGAGTTGTCTTATAGGTTCTTGTTCTTTCCATAAAACAAGGAGACTCACAGCTCCAGCAGCTACTATGCTAGTTGCTATCAAATTCAGTCACGGTGCCACTGAATATTCTGTTACTTAAAGCCTAATTGTAAAGTTAACTGCCAGCAACCAATCTGTAAAATGATAGTGGGAAGAGGAGGAGAGAAGAAGAAATAGGTCAGCATAGACAAATAAACCCGTGCCTGTGCCAGGCAAAGAGAAAACATAGAGTCTTTGCTTCTGTACTTGGTCACATGGCTATGGTGGACCTGCATGGCTACCTTCTATGGTTCACTCCTTATTTCCCTTGTCCTTAGCCCGAGCAGCCTCAGCTGATGGGTTTCTTTACATGCCGAAGTGACCCAAACCTTCACTGCCCAAGTGTCTTGAGTCCTTCAGCATTTTGCTGCTGCTGTTTGCTTGCTGTGGTTTTCCAGTAACCTTTATCACCGGGTGTGCAAGTACCAAGGGGGAACCTCAGGATCATTTACTCTAGCCACTAGAATAACTCCTTTTTCATCCTCTTGTTACCTTGATAAAAGGAGCCCAAAATGACCAGGTACAGGGTCCTCTTCTCATTCACAGGGACCAATGCAAACGTACCTCCCAAATCGGCAGAGCCCAAAGTAGGCAGGATGGGCAATAAATATTCTGCAGGTAGGTTAGTAGGTGTAAAAGTAAAAGGAACCATTCCTGTTTCCACCCCTTGATTCCCAGGACTATGTTTTCCAGCTTTGGGAAACAGCACAATATAATGGTCTTTGATTCAAAGAATATATTGCATCTTAAAGGTGCAACATCTTCCCTTCAGGATAGTGTCCCTCAACTCATGTAATCGAGTCTTCAGTAGACTATTCCACTTTTCAGTTAAGGCCTGTTGATTTAGGGGTACGCAGGTATGAACCCGTTGCTGCACCTCCTTTGCTCTGAAATGCTCTGGGATCAGATGCAATGGTATGCGACATGCCAGGGCCCGGATGATGAGTAAGGCATTCTGCAAGGACAGATGTTGGGGCTGATTGGAAGCACTGCAGACAGAGAAGACAAATCCGTATCCAGAATACGTGTCTGTTCCAGTGACGGCAAGTCTGCCCCCTGCACAGCGGAAGTGGTTTAAAGAGGTCACCTGCTACCAGGTGGCCGGCTCATCCTCCCTGGGGAATGGCGCCGTACTAGCGGCTTAGTTGTTAATATCTTTTAGGATTTTTATAAAATTGTAAACATACATAACAAAATTTTTACCACGTTAATTATTTTCTTTTTAAAGTAGGCTCCATGCCCAACGTAGGGCTTGAACTCACAACCCTGAGATCCAGAGTTACCTGCTCTACCAACTGAACCAGCCAGGCACCCCACCATTTTAATTATTTCTAAGTGTTAAAATTCGGTGGCATTTAAGTACATTCACAATATTGTGTGACCATCACACTATCCATTTCCAGAATATTCTTCTCTTCCCAAGCCGAAACCGTACCTGTTAATGGTAACTCTTCATTCCCTTCCTCCTCCAGTTTTCTCTGTTAGACCTTCTGTCTCTGTGTGTTTAGCTACCCTAGGCACCTCAAATAAGGAGAATCATATATTTGCCCTTTTGTATGTGGCAAATTTCACCTTAGCATAATGTTTTCAGGCTCAATCTGTGTTGTAAACAGGGGTCAGAATTTCATTCCTTTTTCAGGGCCCAATAAAATCCCACTGTATGGATATATTGGGTGGGTATATTGCATTTTATTTATCCGCTTGTCTGTTGATGGGCATTTGTGCTGTTTTCACATTTTGGCTACTGTGAGTAGTACTGCTGTGAACATTCCTATACAAAGATTTTGTTGGAACGCCTGTTTTCTGCTCTTTGGAGCATATGCCCAGGGGTGGCACTGCTGAGTTTGAGAAGCCACTGAGCTATTTTCCACAGTGGCTGCACCACTGTACATTCCTGCCAGCAAGGTATGAGGTTCCAGCTTTTCCACATTTTCCTGATGCTGCTTTTTGTTTGTCATTATAGCCACCTTAGTGGGCATGGAATGGAATCTTGCTGTGCTTTGGATCTGTGCAGCCCTGATGGCTAGCAGTGCTGAGCCCCTTTCCCTGTGCTTATTGCCAATATTTTGTGTTGTCTTTGGAGAAAGGTAGGCGGGAGTCCTTTGTCCATTTCCAAATGGGGTTGTTTGTCTTCTGTTATTAAGTTGTAAGAGTTCTTTATGTATTTTGGATAGTAGCCCCTTGTTAGATGATTTGCAAATATATTCTCCCATTCCGTGAGTAGTCCCTTCACCCTCTTGATAGTGTCCTGTACACAAAAGTTTCTCTCTTGATGAAGTCCAGTTGATCTAGCCTGTTCCTTTTGCCTTTGGTGTCCTGTCTTGCCAAATCCAGGATTATGAAGATTTATCCCCTTATTTTTTTCTATGAGTTTTAGAATTGTAGCTCTTCTGTTTAGGTCTTTGATCCATTTTGAGTTAATTTTTTTTAAAGATTTTATTCATATATTTGACAGAGTGCACAAGCAGGGGGAGAGGCAGGAGAGGGAGAGGGAGAAACAGGTTTCCCATAGAGTGGGGAACCTGAGTGAGGGACCCTGGGATCATGACCTGAGCCAGAGGCTGACACTCAACCGACTGAGCCACCCAGATGCCCCAAGTTAATTTTTTTTTTGGAGATTTTCTTTATCTGAGAAAGAGTGAGCGAGCACGAGTGGAGGGTGTAGGAGAGAGGGACAAGGGAGAGGGAGCCTGATGCGGGGCTTGATCCCAGGAACCTGAGATCATGACCTGAGCTGAAGGCAGACAACTAACTGAGCCACTTAGGTGCCCCAAGTTAAATTTTTTATAAGGTATAAAGTAAGGGTCCAACTTTACTTTTTTAAAGATTTATTTATTTTAGAGAGTGGGGGAGAGACAGAGAGGGAGAAAGAGAGGGTTTTTATTTTGTTTTGTTTTGTTTTAAGATTTTATTTAATGGGGAGAGAGAAAAAGCATGAGCATGGGGGAAGAGGGAGAAGCAGACTCCCTGCTGAGCAGGGAGTCCAGTGTGGATCCCAGGGCCCTGAGATCATGACCTGAGCCGGAGGAACTTCCACTCTGTGAGAAGCTTGTTTCTCCCTCTCCTTTTACCTCGTGCCGAGTGAGTCAAGCAGACTCTGTACTCAGTGCAGAGCCTAACACTGGGCTCAATCTCATGACTCTGAGATCATGAACTGACTCAGATGCTCAACTGACACCCCCAGGTGCCCACCAACTTCATTCTTTTACTTGTGGATGCCCAGTTTTCTCGGCACCATGTGTTGAAGAAACTGTCCTTTTTCCATTGAATGGTCTTGGCATTGTTTTCAAACGTTATTTGACCACATCTCCAGGTTTTATTTCTGGGCTCTCTGTTCTAGTCTGCTCTGTAGGTCTGTCCTATCTCTGTATGTGTTTGGTCTCTGGACCCTTTCATCTGGCCCCAGATGGCTGTGGGGCAGGCCTCATCTCATGGTTAGGTGGTCCTGACAGCGCATAGTTCCTCACGGGAAGCTCGGGCCACATGGCCACCCCGCGTCCTCCGGTAAGGTGTTAACTTCTGCAGAAGTCCAGGGCAAGCCAGAAACTAATTCTCAAAAGGCAAATAGTGCTTTGCGGAAGAGAACATAGATTTGCCCTAAATCCTAGAGGTCTTGCTATGGTGCTCTCTGGCGCCTGCCAGAGGCCCGTGTCAGGGCGCCCTTACTTGCCGTGTACACGCTAAGTGTCACTGAACCTGCTGGATCACACGGCCCAGATGGCATCGCAGCTTGTGTGCAGCCTGGATTGGCTGCAGGGCCTGGTCTCGCCGGGCTTCCCACTTGAGACCGGAAACCTCATGAGGGACTCTAAATAATGAGCGGGGCTGGCCCAAACTTGGATGCAGTGTGTGATGCCTCAGCAATCCAGGAAGGCCTGTGAGTGGCGTGGTCTCTCTCTGCAGCAGGTGGTTGGCGGCTCAGCCAGCCGTCTTCTCCATGGAGGCACTGGCTTGACAAGGTGCGGACCACCGAGGCCTCGCGCCTTCACTGAGGTGACAGGCCACGGACACCCTGTGTGGATTGTCTGCCGGCCTGTAGTTGCACACTGTCCTAAGGCTTCTAAAGGACTCATGCAGCCCCTCGTGAGGTCCAGCGGGCCGCAGCCTTTTGTCAGACCACCGCCGGGGGCGCGGATTTCCTGTCAGGGCCGCTCAGGAGCGGGAGCCCTTGGTCACTGGAGCCAAGTGACATGGCGCCGGCGCTCCCCCAGCCAGGCGGAGGGCCTCTTCCCTGTAAGGCCTAGGGATCCTCTCGCACCCCTTCTGCTAACAAAGCTTAATGTGTGCCCGGCCGCGGAAGAAACGCAGCTGGAGGGTTTGGCTCCGTTCTCACGGGGCGTAGGCCCTGAAGGGCAGAGTGGGCGCTGAGAGCCTCCAGCCCGGACCAGGTATAGTTTGCCATTTTAAATAGAGCGCAGAGAAGCTGAAGAGCCGGGGATCTTGCTGTGACAACACACTAGTCATCGAACACCACCCCCCGCCACACATACATGTTCTGTATGTTACGGAGACACAGAGATGAATAAGAGTGTCTGTCTCCACAGAGAACTTACATTTGGGGTTAATAGGCTATTTCCAGTACCTCTTAACTGTTCCTTGCCCTATTTCTTCCTTGCCCTCTGAAGTAAAATCATCTAAAAAAAATGCCTGCATTGGGGCGCCTGGGGGGCTCAGTTAAGTGTCTGACTCTTGGTTTCGGCTCAGGTTGTGATCTCAGGGTCATGATATTGAGCCCTACATTGGGCTCCACGCTCCGTGTGAAGGCTATTTGAGAGTCTTTCTCTCTCTGCCCCTCCCTCCATCATGCACGCGCTCCCTTGTGCTCTCAAATAAATTCCACTCTTTAAAATTTAAAGTATCTCATCACCGTGTGACGTATGTATTTCATATTTGTTGTACTTTGCATATCTTTTATCCATACTCCTTGATCTTACTTGTCTCCTTATCTCCTTCTGCCTAGAAAAGGATGCGCCATGGCTGTATTAATCCCCTAAAACCTTGAACTCTCATTGGCCTCTCAATACAGATAAATCATATTTTCTGGAAAATTTAGGGACCCACTTCTTGGCCCTAAAAGACAGTCTTTGGCCAAAGGGTTGTGCATTAGAGAAGGATTGGGGCTCCACACAGAAAGCAACTGCCTTTGATGTTCTCTCCTGGGCAGATCCTGTTGTCACTGCTGTTACCGCGCCAGAGCCGCCTGCGAGGAGAGATCGAAGAAGCACTGGACACAGAGCTCCTCAAGCGGAAAGCGGAACACGGGGCCTTGAATGTCTCTCTTCTCTCTAAGTACGTTCTCGACATGATGACTCTGCTGTGTGCACCCGTTCGAGACGAAGCAGTGCAGAATCTGGAGAACATCACTGACCCTGTTCGGTTACTGAGGTGCGAAACTTGACTGCTGTCCCTCGAAAACCCACGTCAGCCCCCGGGCCAGGACAAGTGGGGCCAGACACGCGATTGTAGCCCCATCTTGGTTGGCTCTTCCCTATTGAAGACCTGACCAATCTTTTCTGTCCTTGCTGACCTATTAGCTTTATCCTTTTCAGCCAAAGATGACCTTAGTTTGGTTGTGCCTCCTATATAAATACCGTTATATCATAAAATGTTAGAGTATGTGATCCTTCCAAGGAGTTCAAACATCCTTTTCCCCGATTTTCTCATTGCAGTTTACACAGTGTGAGGGGACAGGGATGGCAGGTTATCCCTATTTAACAGCTGTAGAAACTAAGACCCAGGAAGTTAGAAAAGAAAAGAAGAAAAGAGTGGCCCAGAAATTGCTTCAGATATGGCATCACCTATAGTCCAACTTCCCAGAAAGATTCGTTAGCATACCGGTGTGTTTCCTTTTGCTGACTCTACCTTTAAAAAAAAAAAAAATGATAGAATGATCATGTGGAAAGAGAGCTAGCCTGGAGGCTTAGAGGTCCGGAGACTTCTGTTTCTCACTCTGCCATTCACTTACTCTAGGCCTGGGGTCTTAGTCACAGTGCCATTTTTTGTAAATTTAGGACATGGGACTATTTTTTTTTTTAAGATTTTATTTCTTTGTTAGTGTGTGTGTGCGTGCGCACACGCATGAGTAGGGGGAGGGGCAGGCAGAGGGAGAAGCGGGCTTCCTGCTGAGCAGTGAGCCGGACTCAGGACTCGATCCCAGGACCCTGGAACCATGACCTGAATTGAAGATAGACACTTCACGGACTGAGCCACGCAGGCGGCCTGGAGGTGGGACTCATTGTAACGCTCCTCCTCACTCTGGAAAACAGTGATTTAATGACGCTTTCTGTGGGGTCCCCTCTCACTAGATTTCCTTTCATAGTGTATTTTATTTTCTCTTATGTCAGAGGGATCTTCCAGGTTCTGGGCCTGATGAAAATGGACATGGTGAACTATACTATCCAGAGCCTTCAACCCCACCTGCAGGAACATTCCATCCAGCATGAACGGGCGACATTCCAGGAACTCCTCAATAAGCAGCCAAGTATGTAAATAACTTGAGGGCCAGAGTGAGAAGATGGGATCTTGTTTGGGTCTGACTTCTGTGATGTTAGAGAGTGCTCTGTCTCTTGGGAACAGAAAGTTTCTTCCTCAGGTAGGGCGAGGGAAAAGGAAGAGTTATCTAAGACAGACCCCCTTCCCCCAAGCAAAGCGTTTATTTATTGACCAGGAACAAATCTTAAAAAGAACCTTAGTCTTGAAGCTTTAGGGATGTGGGTGCTGAAGATGCTTCCCCGCTCTCTTCCTGTCCTAGGCCTCCTTGACCACACCACCAAGTGGCTGACCCAAGCAGCTGTAGACCTTACCACGCCACTTCCGATTTGCCTGGACATTTCCGACTCCACCACCATGGCCTGCTCCTCTCCGAATGAGACAATCAGCAGCCCCGAGCCCCTCAGCCCCACAATGGTGCTGTCCCAGGGTTTCCTGAACCTCCTTCTCTGGGACCCTGAGAATGAAGAGTTCCCTGAGGTGGGCCCAAGGAGGGCATCGCCTTGTTCTGTATCTGGGACCCCCGTCTGGACCCTCCCCTCCTGACAGCCTGTTCTTGCCCTCTTCCCCAGACGCTGCTGATGGACAGGACCCGGCTTCGGGAGCTGGAGTCCCAGTTGCACCGGCTGACCCTCCTGGCCTCAGTCTTGCTGGTGGCCAGTAGTTTCTCTGGCAGTGTTCTGTTTGGCTCACCTCAGTTTGTGGATAAGCTGAAACGTATAACCAAAGACCTGATAGAGGAGTTTGACTCCAGGTGAGCTGTATAGAGCTTTTCTAGAGGGATGGTCACATGTGCTTTGAAGACGGAGCTAGGTAACAAATGATGGCTTACATCCCACCACGGGCCGCAAAGACTGGAACCGTCTACAGGGATTGTTGATGTCTTTCTATAATGGCCTTGAGACTTGTGACAAAGTTAAAGCTCTCCTCCAGAAAGGGTAGTCTGGAGGGTAGTTTACTACAAAATGAGTCATGACCTTGTTTGCTACAAAGCAATTATTCCCTCCTTGAGGGGATGCTAGTGGTATATCTGAGGTATATCTGGGAGTCGATCAGTCAGCGATGTTAAATCGAACATCTGTGTGCAGGGTGTCACACCAGAGGAAAAAAGGAATCAGAAGGCTAGGTTAACTGTATTTGGTGACAGGACAAATGACCATGGAAAATGTCCAACAAAGTCTTAAAAATGCATATACATATATAAATAAACTCCATGGGGCTGAAGAATTGACACCAAACTTATCCAGGGTGGATTTTATGGTTTATCTTATTTTCTAAGAAGTAGAACATGGTGTCATATCTAGAGAATAGTCGGGACGTGGATAGCAGTGAGGACGCTGAGCCTGCCCACTGGGTTCTGCTGCTACCAGGGACTGGGGTAAGGGCAGGAGAGGGGCTGCGAGTCTCCCTCAAGTGGGCCCAGCTTCTGGTGTGGAACTTCCGAGGCCATCCTCTGGGTGCCAGCTTCCTCTTCTTCATGGTCTAGGCCTGAAGAGGCTATGCAGACTGTGAGTGAACAGGTGTCTCAGGAAATCCATCAAAGCCTCAAGAACATGGGGCTTGCTGCTCTGAGCAGTGACAACACAGCTTCGCTGATTGGACAGCTCCAGAACATTGCCAAGAAGGAGGACTGTGTCCGCAGCGTCATTGGTGAGCATGCATGTTGGGGTGGCGCGAATGTTTTGGGGAGAGGTACATCCCATCCCTGGGAGTCAGTCACTGAACCATTTAACAGTGAAAAGCAGGGTCATTGGGCAAGTTGCTGTTCAGGCTGTAGTTTTTTTCAAAATGCTGGGTTGAAAATAGATTCCTTTCAGTTTAGAGAGAGATTCTGGTTCTAAGGAAGGTTTGTACCCAGGAATTTAAGACTTCTGGTTAGGAGATCCTGTCCACCTAACCTGATTAAGTCATCTGTGGCCTTCTGGGTCATTTTCTGATTGTAATCCAAGTCATGACATTTACCCCCAACCTCCCAGCAATAAGAAGCTGGTGCTGAATTGGCTGGAGGACGTGTTCCCACAGCAAGGACTCATCCCTGTTGGAATGGAGGGCATGAACTTGACCTTGCTCTTAACCTCAGCCATCTAAAGAATAGGTCTAAGAGCCTCATGGTAGTTTCTCACCAGGATCTATCTACTTTGAAGGCTTAAGTCATCTTTTGAATAGTCAAAAATTTACTAGCTCACTCGTTTGTGATCTTTGCCTTGTCCTTGGGAGCGAAATCAAAGCCTCCTTCCTGAACAGAGTGGGTGTTCTTATCTCCAGGTGAGTGGGTGGGCCAGTCAGTATCTCAGTTAGCTTAGAACTGGAGGGAGTAGAGCAGAGGGGCTAGGCTGCTCCCTGAAAGTCGTTTGCTTCTTCCCTGCTCACAGATCAGCGGATCCATTTGTTTCTCAAATGCTGTTTGGTCCTTGGTGTGCAGCGGTCCCTGTTAGACCTCCCCGGAGGCCTTACTGTCATTGAAGCAGAACTGGCAGAACTGGGCCAAAAGTTTGTCAGCCTAACGCATCACAATCAGAAGGTGTTTGGCCCCTACTACACGGAGATCCTAAAAACCCTCATCCCTCCAGCCCAGGCCCTGGAAACCGAGGTGGAGTCTCTGTGACTGCACGGACTCCAAGCCCCGGCCCCTTGGACCCAGGCGAGAGCTCAGCATGCTCCTGGGGTGATCTCACCAGCGACCATCAGAGCAGGAAGCCCTCCTCCCCTCCCGAGGGCAGTCCACCAGGGCTGAAGTGAGCAGCATGTCAGCAGCAACTGGCCCAAACTCATTCACCAATAAACTTATGGACTGCAAGCTGCCCTCCACTCTTCCTGTGCCGCAGCTATGTCTGGGCCCCGTGCTCTGGGCCCCCAACTAGCCGAGAAGCCAGAAGACCCCCAGTGTGCCCCCATGGGCTAGGAGCTCCCTTTAGGACACAGAGCTGAGAAGCCAAGACACTCAGGTGCTAGTGTTATTTCTCTAAGGGTAAAGCATTTCTCTGAGGCTCTGAGAAGCCTGTAAAATTATCCAAAGTATGAGTAGAAGGGCTTCTCTGGAAGTCACAAATTTGTTTTGTCAGTTCGGCGCAGGCTTGGGTATGGTTGAAAAAGTTATTGGAAACTTCATTTCCAGGACCAAATTCTCCTGAAGGTTTCAAATGATGCAGCAAGCAGTCAATAGTGTAGCGGCTGCTTCTGTGGCCGGGTCTGCAAGGGAGGGGCTGGGCAAACAGGCGGCAGGGAAATGGGTGTTGGCTGCGAGCAAGTGTTCTGCAGAGCGCAGTCTCGGAGCTCAGGGGATTTCTCTCTCTCCAGTTGCTGGAGGGGAGGCATGGCCTGTTTGGTCAGTGACTGACTCTCATCAAGTCTCTTGCTCGTCCTGGTCTCCAGATGCGTGAGCTCCCTGGCCCCTCATCTCTAAGCTTAGATACCCTTCTCTGACAGAGGTGACGTGGGCATTTAGAAGTGGTACTGCTTCCATCCGGGACTTCGTTGGCAGTTGGGGGTTGTGAGCTCGTGTTGGCATCACAAATGAAAGAGGTTCTGGGAAGGGCCTGGGCATGCCTCCTGGCATCAGAGAGATCCCACCCATCCTCCTCAGGCTGACTGCCACAGACCAGCTCTACCAAACGAGGATAAGGTTCCATTTAGATCTGGCCCTTTCTAAATAATGGACAAAAGAAAATGAACCTTCACTTATGTGCTCTCAAGGTAATGGGAAGAGAACCAATGTTCTCAGCATTTGGGGAATGGAGGGGGCCGCCTGGAATACACAGAATCTGGGAAGAATGACAGAAGGGATATTTGAGTTCCATCACCCTCGGGTTTGTTCCTAACTGACTTCTTTTCCAGAGAGATGGGTGACACAACTGGGTTAGCAGTGTGGCCACGACCAGAAACCCTGGAGGGCCTAGAGAGACATCCTCAGGATGGGGAAGCCCAGAAAAAGGGCATGTTTGAGAAGTAGTGAAGCTTGCCTAGATGGATTCTCTGATTTGCAATGATTAATTTGAATTTCTTCAAAGTCCACATTTTGGAAGCCGCTTTATCTTAGAGACAGAGGTGTGCTGAAGGGACCTCTGTGAAAAGGACTGCCTGGGTCGTGGGTGCAGACACTGAGCTTATAGTAAAACCTTGCTTTATACTTCATAATTAAAATCTGGAATGACCCATTTCTTAGAAATTTCAAGTTGATTTTCTTGTGCTTCCACACTGAGGAGACAGGGATCCTGACCTCCATTTCATCCTGTCCATGGCTTGAAGGTATATATTTAACACTAAGGGAAAATACACATAATATAAAATTTGCCATCAGTGACATTTAGTATATTTACAATATTGGTCAACTATCACCACTGTCTACTTCTAGAACCTTTTCATCACTTCAAAGGAAATCCCATACCCATTAACTTTTTATTCTTCCCTCCCTTGAGCCTCTGGCAGACACTACTTTGCTCTTTGTTTCAACACATTTTCTTTCTCTCTTTTTTTAAAGATTTATTTATTTGAGAGAAAGAGAGTGTGTGCGCACATGAGTAGGGGTGGGGCAGGGGGAGAGAGAGAATCCTGAGCAGGCTCCCTGCCGAGTGCAGAGCCCAACACAGGGCTCAGTCCCACGACCCGAGATGATGACCTGAGCTAAAACCAAGAGATGCTCAATTGACTAAGCCACTCAGCTTCCCTGATTTTTTTTTTTTTTTTTAATTACAGAAATCTTGGTGGGTGTGAAGTGAAATCTCACTGTGGTTTGATTTGCATTTCCCTGATAGTGGTCTTGGGTATCTTTTCTTGGGCATTTGTATCTCTTTGGTGGAAAATGTTTATTTTAGTCCTTTGCCCATTTTTTTTTAAAGATTTTATTTATTTGACAGAGATCACAAGTAGGCAGAGAGGCAGGCAGAAATAGAGGGGGAAGCAGGCTCCCTGCTGAGCAGAGAGCCTGATGTGGGGCTCAATCAGGACCCTGGGGTCATGACCTGAGCCGAAGGCAGAGACTTTAACACACTGAGCCACCCAGGCGCCCCATGCCCATTTTTTAATTGGGTGATTTTGTTGTTGAATTGTAGAGTTCTTTATAAATTCTGGATAGTAGACCTTTGTTAGGTAAAGGATTGGCAAATGTATTTTCCTATTCTGTGGATAGTCTTTTCTTGATAGTGTCCTTTGATGCATAAAAGCTTTAATTTTGATGAAGTCCAACTTACTAGGTTTTCTTTTTATGGATTGTGCTTTTGCTGTCAAGTTAGGAACTCTTTACTCAGCCCTAGAGCCCCAAGATTTCCTCCTAAGTTTTTTTGCTAAAAGTTGTATAGTTTTGTGTTTTACATTTAAGTCTATGATTCATTTACAGTTAATTTTGTGTAAGGTGTGAGACTTAGTTGAGGTACTTTTTTTCCCTCTTGTCTGTGGATGTCCAGTTGTTCTAGTTGCACTTTATAAGTTGGGCATATTTGTCTGGGTCTGTTTTCTGGGTTTTCTATTCTGTTCCACTGATCTACGTGACGGGGTCTCTTCCATACAACACAGTATTGATTACTGTAGCTATATATTAAGTCTTAAAATTGAGTAGACTGATTCTTTCCACTTCATTCTTCTGCTTCAATTTTTTTAAAGCTATTCTAGTTTCTTTGCCTTTCCATGGACTAATCTTATCTATATCTACAAAAAAAAAAATGCACCAAAAAAATGCCTTGCTGGAATGTTAATAGATATTATGTTAAACCTGTATATCAATTTGGGGAGAATCGACATCTTTACAAAGTTGAAAGTTCTAGTCCATGAATATGGTATATCTCTCCAGTTGTTTAGATCTTTTTTGAGTCTTTCATCAGGACTGCAGATTTTTTTTTAAGTTTTATTTTTTTTTTAATAATCTCTATACCCAGTGTGGGGCTCAAACTCACAACCCTGAGATCAAGTGTCAAACACTCTTCTGACTGAGACAGCCAGGTGCCCCAGGACTATATAGTTTTTATCATATAAGACTTTAATATGTTGGACTTACACCTAAGAATTTTTTTTAAGTGATTACAAATGGTGTTTTATTTTTTGTTTTGGTGTCCACATGTTCATTGGTACAAATAAAATGGACTTCTACAGGCTTATTTTGTATTCTGTGATCTTAACTCACTTTTTCTAATAATTTTTGTTTTTAGATTTTTGGGAATTTCCTATATAGACAATCATGTAATCGTCAAATAAAGGCAGTTTTATTTCTTTTCTGATACAGATGCCTATTATTTCCTTTTCTTGCTTTATTGTACCAGCTAGAGCTCTCAGAATTTGAAGACTGGTAATGTGGAATACTTTCTTTTGTTCCTAGTCTTTAAGGGGAAAACATTCAGTTTTTCACCATTAAATATAATGTTGGTTGTAGGTTTTTTGTAAATATTCTTAATTAAGTTGAAGAAAAAGTATTAAGTACCACAAATTTAGTGCCTTGAGATAAGGTAAATTTATTATCTACAGTTCAGGGTGTCAGAAGTCCACCATGGATCTTACCAGCTCAAATTCAGATGTGGGCTGAGCTATATGAGGCTCTAGGGATGAATTAGTTTCCTATGGTAGCTGTAACAAATTAGCACAAACTGAATGTTTTAACAAAACCAGAAATATCCTTTCTCACAGTTTGATTCTGTTGTGGTTCAAGAACATGTTGTATATGATTTAAATTCTTGTAAATTTGTTGAGGTTTGTTTTATGACCCAGGATTGGTTTATCTTAGTATGTGTTCCATGGGCACTTGAAAACAATGTGCATTCTGCTGTTGTGGGTCAGATTGTTCTCCTGTGTCCGTGAGATCTTGTTGGTTGGTGGTGGTGAGTTCTAGTTTACCCTTGATGGTTTTCTCTCTAGTTGTTCTATCAGCTGTTGATAGTCTCCAACTGAAGTTTCTGTTTATTGTATTAGTCTTTTCAGGCTGCCATACAAAATATCATAGGCTGGGAGGCTTCAAAAACAAAAATTTATTTCTCAATAAATAAGAAATAGGCTGGGAAGGCCCAGATCAAGGACTGGCAGGGTCAGTTTCTGGTGAGGACTCACTTCCTGGCTTGTAGGTGGACACCCTCTCCCTATGTCCTCACATGGTCTTTCCACTGTATCTGTATCTAGAGCTCTCCCTCCCGCCTTCCCTCCCGCCACCTGTAAGGCCAGCAGTCCAACTGGATTAGGACCTTATCCTTATGAGCTCATTGAACCTTAATTACATCTTAAAAGCTCTATTTCCAAATACGGTCACAGTGGGGTTAGGACTTCAACACAGGAATTTTGGAGGGACACACTTCAGTCACATGTGTTTATGGATTTGTCCATTTCCCTTTTCAGTTCAGTCTCTGCTTCACGTATTTTGCAATTTTGTCGTTTGGCACACACACACAGACTGATGTGTCATTTTGGAGCACTGACTATTATTGTATAATGTCCCTCTCTTTCTTGTAATTTTCTTTGCTCTGAATTGTGCTTTATGAGATACTAATATTGCTGCTCCTACTTTCCTTTGATTGATGTTTGCATTATGTAGCTTTGTCTATCCTTTTGCTCCCAGCCTGTTTATATTATTATTAGAGGTGTGTTTCTTGACAGCATACAGTTCATGTTTTTAAATCTACTCGGCCAATCGCTTAATTGGTGTTTTAGACCATTTAATGTAATTATGATATATTAGTGCTTACGTGTGCCATTTTTTGTTTTCTGTTCTGTTCATATTTTCTATTTTTTTCTGTCTCCATTTGAGTTACTTGAAAAAAATGTAACACTCTATTTTGATTTATCCATAGCATTTTTGAGTTTATCTCTTTATGTAATTTT